TATTTCTTAAAATAATTCAGTTTTGCTTGAACTCGTGATTTTATGGACAGCCTGGTCATATTTGAGAATATATTATTGGAAAATTTATTCATAAAATGCAACATTATTGAGCTGATCCTCAACTTTCCATCCACACTTATTTTCAAGCTCTCATTAACAAGAACATTAGCTTGTTAAAATTATCAATAAAAAAGCTTATTTTAAATTCCCTGGAGTCAAATTAATTATCCATTTTAATGTCAGCTCATGATTAAAGTGCATAAGTTTTCAATGTATTTTGAACTCCATAATTGAATTTATTAAGTTTACCTCTGTTATCTTGTATCAATAAAATACATCCACCAATTAAATCAGAGAAGAAGCTGTGAAATTCTGGCACTCACACATTTTACAATACAGGAATGTGTAATAAATGAAAACGTATTTTGGTCTTTAACAGTAATGGTAATTTGACTGCTTTACTGATTATGTTCCATGTCTGAGACAGAGTGAGTTTATTTCACCAAATAACTGTGAGGAAAGTCATAACTGGAGAAGGATTTCCAATAATCTTGAATGTTCAGACCTGGTTAAAATCTCAAAATAAAAAACAAACAAATAAAAAAACATACCAGACATTTAGGAGATGTTTTATATCCACCATATGTTGTCAAGTCTGGGTTAGATTGTTTTACAATTTAAAAAAAAAAAAATAAAAATAACAATTTGAGCACAATACTATTTCTCATTCAACTTTTTAACTGCTGCAGTAATCACAATATGTATTAATACAAAAACTTTGCTGAGATTTCTAGTTTGTTTATCTCTTTATTTGCAACTTGAAACATATTCAATGGATTAAAAAGCTGCTAAAATGATGGAATATGGACTCATTCATCATCCGCTTTGAGCTTTCATAATAACTCATACGTTTTCATCATCTATCACCTCAGTTGGAAACTGACCTCTCTGTGTTGTATTTATTTAACTCAGCAGTCATTTGTTGTTATTCAGACTTTATTCTGAATCATGAGAGTTAAATTCTGAAATATTTTCTTCTTGGTAGTTCCTGAACGTTCAAGCAGTGACTGGTGGTATTCAGATGAACTCTAGAGGTGTACTGCCATTTGATAGTTTAATTGTTAAATAATTAACAATACAGTGTTACTTTTGATCCTGTTGCATATTAAACATTAATTACAAAAGCTTTTTTATGACTGACTGGTATTGAAACCGATCATGTTGTTGGTATTGGTTTTCTGCTTCAGGACCCTCTTTAACACTCGTCTTTCTTTGTGTACAATAACTAATAGGTTTAAGATGGTTCAGGTTTTCTAGAGTCATTATTAATAAATCTACTTTAGAAATATTACTCTAAATTAATGCCTATTTTCATTTTTTTAACTCTTTGTTTGGGAGGATCCTCAGTATTTTTTAATGGTTGATTATCAACAGTGTTTTTTTCTTCTTTTTTTTCCATTTATCTCCCAGTCAATCTCTCCAGTTTTTCACGATTCCATAATCTCAGAAATTCACACAAAATCAACAAATTTCCAAATTTTTCCACGCTAGTGTATGCTGATATGAGCTTACTGCTAACTTTCCGCAAAATTGTAAAAAAGAAAAAATTTAAGAGACTGCAGGTGGCAGTATTTCTTACTTTTACTGAACCACTCACATTTCTAAAATATCACTGCAAAATCAGTGATTTTAATTGCAAAGAAAATCACAATAAATTGCAAAATCCTGAAGGGATTGCCTTGCTTATACTCGAACGCCAACCTTAGTGGATATGTTTTATTGAAAAAAGACTTTCATGGAGGTAAAGAGAAGGAGCTACATTATTATTAAAGCCTTTTCAGAGATTTTAACAGGTGAGAATATTATAGAGCATGTATGTTCTAAGATATGTTTTAAATCAATCACAAGAACCAGAGTTAAATGCTATGAAAGTGTTATAAATTATGTCAAAGGCACAATTTAGGTACAACTTGTAAAGTATTTTTGCTGACTTAGCAAGTTGTAAGCCAGATCAAACTTCTGATTTTTCCTTTCTCTTGCTGTCAGGAGTCGGGATGAGTGCAGTTTATTTAAAATTCATTACACCTGTTCGTTTCCACTGGAAGGGATGGCAATATGTGGCTTTTAAACTATAACTGTAATGAAATATTACGTTATTGATGCTTCATTGCTCCAATATCACTATTTTTAATTCTGAACAATGAAAACTCACCCAAGAAATATTACAGGTACATAAAACAGAATTTAAGTTTTGCAAAAATGTTCAGGAACTCATATGTGCAATATCGATTTCTTTTTATATATTTTATTGAGTACCAGAAAAGGAGTGAGTTTATCTACTTGGTATTAGTATAAAAAATCTAATTCATTCAATACCACAGTGAAATGAATTATTTTAATATTTTATCAAATACAGTCATGATTTTACAACTTTATTCCTGAAATATTATGACTTTATTCCCATATTGTAATTATATTCTTCTATTATTTCAACTTCTCATACGACTTTATTCTAATAATTTTCTTTATTTTTCTTTCTATCGCCCTAACACACCATCAAGACTCTTCTTAAACAGTGTAATTTTTACTAAAACTCAACACTGAGCCTTCATCAGAACATGAAATACAGTAGACGTGATTTAACCTCATGAACATCTAATGACTCAGCATCTCTAGGCCTCCTGTTACTACAGCCAGACCTACTTTTCCATATCTATCACTCCCTATAAACAGACTCACGCTTCCTCAGGTGCTGACATGTGACAGAGCAAATCTGGAATTTCAAGCAGCTCACCTCCCAGGTTCATCCCAGCCTGAAGACACTTCCGTACCCGACAGGCTGGGCAGTTTTTCCTTCGGATCTTATCAATGATGCAGTCATTTCTGCCAGCGCACAGGTAGTTGTGCTGACCTGAAAGAACAAACAGACCTCATGAATTTGGGCCTCACATGACGCATTATGAAAAAAAGTGATATTTGACAATCATGGAGAAGAATCACCTGGAATTAAAAAAAAAAAAAAAAACGTAAATTATTTGAAAATTCATAAACATCCTTGTGAAAATGAAATGACTTAGTTATTTTTCTCATGCTACCAACCATATATGACTGCTAGTGCGTTATACAGTAAATAGCATGAGGGATTTGGTGGAAGCAGGGCACTGGCTGCAGCTCGGCTATTTCTGACAGTGATGCTAACATGGCGAGAATCCCTCCTGCCTCCTGCCTAGCCCTTAGCTAAACCCAATGATCTCCCATTTCAGAGTGCTTCCTTCCGCTCCACTAGCTCTTCACTGTACAGCTCCCCTCCTCCTCCTCCTCCTCTTTTCACTCGTCTTCTCCTCTATAACTGCGTCTCAATCCCTTTTTTCCCACACGTCCGCCAGCCTCTGAGCACCGTACGCCCACACACAGGCATGCTCCTGCCTATGCACAAACACAGTCATTCACTCACAAATGCACACATGCATGAAGACACACACACATGTATAGATATTTTTTTTAATATTTGAAATAAAACACATTAAAAAAAAACAACACAGCGCTGGCTCAGACTGAAAGATACGCAGAGGCATTGTGACCTCAGTGACCCCCAATGCAATGTTTACTTCCCCCAGGCTTTAGTTGACATTGTGTTAATATAATGTTGTATAAATGTGTCCATGTTCATAAGTACCTTCCTGTATGCTTATTTCATAACTCATGAGATTTTTGCCCTGACTGAATGTCATGTATGAGCATGTTTGTTTGTTTACTTGCAGTTCTGCAAAGACGACATTCTGTGACTTATCCTTACAATCTACATCATGGGATTTATGTTTTTCGTGTACAGGACAGAGCAGAAGTTGTTTTCTGAGCTAGCAGGAGCAGTGCGCAGTGTGTCTGTCTGGCTGCTGCCAAAAGCCAAGGAACCGAGCTGCAGGAGGAGAGGCAGCAGCTGTAGCCCCACCACTATTTCTGGCTAAATCACATGACCGTTACATAAGCCCATTTTTCTTGCTCTAAAAAACAGTAAACTGCGACACAGGAAACACAACGGAGCCATATCCTTCCCCACCTCTCCGCCATCCCCCCTCCTGCGCACATAGAAACACATGCACTTGGAAAGGCCAGGATGGGAATTCTGAAAAACTCCAAAGCTTTCCATGTCAAGTGAATTTGCTCACTCCTGTGAGTCTTGTCAATTACTGTCAGAGTGAAACACACTTGAAGAGCCCAAGTCAAACTGTGCCGCTTTGGATGGATGTGCGTTCGGCAGTGGGTGTATCTGAGAGGGAGAGAATTTGTTTATTTATTCACTGTTTGCATGCACTCACGCAGCCTGTTTACCTCTGAATATATGCATTTGCCTGTCAATCCTGCAAGTGGCAGGCTTACAGGCAGGAGTTACTTTTTCAGTCTTACTCTAGGAAAATGAAGAAAATTGATTTTTAGGATTACAATATCAGATTTTATACTCCCAATTTAATGTACACATTATTCTTCTAAATATTATCTCTATTTCTACAGATAATATTAATATCTGTATTAGTCCCGATATTGAAAACAAATTTTAGGTCTGGTATTGAGACAAAGTACCCAATCCACATTCAGTCAGATTCTATACTTTATTACTTATTTTATGTTATTTATAATTCCCAGCTGCATTTTCTGAACCATTTGAAAAAAAAAAAAAAAAATTTTTCCATTTATTTTTACATTTTTCACTAAAACAGTCCACTTATTGTTTTTGTCAGTTTCTTGATTGTTTATTGCAAATTAAAGTTGTTTTTACATGTTTAACCAATTTTGTAAAGCTATTGGTGTATTAAAGGGTGCTGAACTTGTCCAGAGTCACAAAATCAATTTGTAATTAAGTGCATTTATGTCTGTGTTTTAAAAAAAGAAACATTTTAGGTCATTTCAGCTGTTTTTCTGTATCAGATTGGGATCGGCTGACACAAAACCCCAGATGTCTGAATCGGTAACCTCGTGGTTATTCCACTAAATATCTATTTCTGAACTCTGCCTGAGTTAAAACATTATTATTGTTGCTTCTAAATGAATATGAAGTTGTTTTCTTTGCATTAGTTGAGGTCTGAAAGCTCTGCATCTTTATCATTATTTTGGCCATTTCTCATTTTCTGCAAATTCTACATTTTTGCTTGGAATTTTGGAAACATGTTGTCAGAAGTTCACAGAATAAAAGAAGAATCTTCAATTTACTCAAACATATTCCTAAAATCAGGGAAACTGATCATGGTAAGAGGTCTCTTAATTTTTTCCAGAGCTGTATATATGGGTTGGATGACAACAGGTTTATATCAGTTGATATCGATTATTATTGATTAGGTTTTTGTTTTATATCTCTTAAATACTACCAAACTAGTGACATGACTTTTCCTGTTTGATTCACAGTTTCCTCTCGAGATGTTGGACATATTTTTCCGTTCCATCCACGCCGTTGTTTTATATTTTTAAGAGGTTATTAGGCGTGATGTCTAAACCTTAAACTGCTGCTGCAACAGGTTGTCGCTAGGCAACCAAAGATGGAGTGAGTTAGTTGATACCACCAACCTAGCTTAGCTGGCTGAGAGAGGATGAGCAGCTAAAGCCTTTCCTACATCCCCCAGAATGCCACACGGTTCTGGATCAGAATTCAGTGAAATTACTGAATTGATTATGTATATGTCTATCAAAATATATATTGTTATTGATTTATTGTCCAGCCCTACATTCAAAACTCTGAAAAAACAACAACCAGCACTGGCTCTCCTCAGGGATGTGTTTCATCTTCATTGTTTTTTATTCTGAACACAAACTCCTGCAGAACTTTCACAAACAAGCGTTTAATTAAATATGCTGACGACACAACCCTGGCCCAAAGAGGAGCATGGACCAGTCCTTGAGTTCTTCATTACTTGGTGCAAAATAAAATTCTAACTATTTCAGAACATGACAAAAATAAAACTAATTACTATCGACTTCAAGAAACTTCAGTCATTTTCCCACAAGCACCTGGGCGAGGTTCTGGACTGTCACTTAAACTAAGACTCATGGATTCACTTTATGAGCCCCAAGGCTTAGCAGAGACTGTACTGTCTAATAAACTGGGATGTTCAGACTCAATAATTTTAATATTCTATTCTGCTTTTATTGAGAATATCTCAACCTTTTGTAACATCTGCTGGTTTGGCTACAGAGGCTCAGAAGAAATCATTGAGAAGTATAGTGACCACAGCCAGCAAACTGTTAGGAACCACTTTGCCAAGCATGAAAAAATATACGTGGACAGAGTTTTGGGGAAGGCATAAATCCTCATACAGACAATGAACACCATGTAAGATCCTCATTTGAGCTGCTTCCTTCAGGGCAAACGTGCTGCCTTCCTCTTTTCTTCAAAAACAATTAAAAATTTTATTTCATACCCCAAGAGATTAAATCATTAAACAGTAAAAAGGTGTCATTGTAAGGGGGTATGTATGTGTATTTTTCATGTAAATATTTTTTATTATCAATATTAGGAAATTATTGACTTAAAACAAGCTCCTATGTCTTGTTGAAAAGTTACTTGTAGGTTACTTAGAGTAAAAACTAGACAAAAATACTTGGTAAGACTTTGTGTTTTTGAAGTGCAGTCAGCCGTTGAGCTCTTCTTCAATGTATGATGTAAGAAAGCTACATCAGATAAGGCAATCCTAATCTCCGTCAAATAACTGAAAAGAAAATAAAGCACCATAATGCATGTAATCAAAAATAAAATTAGTTTTTCTGGAAACAGAGAGAGCCCTCGTTTTTGAAGATAAAATTGTTTTAATTTGCAAGCGTTTGAGCAAATTACCAAACCTTTTAAGAAATCAAGGCAGGAGTCCACTCACATCTACTTTTAACTAATGATCTCACAATCTGGCAGAAGCCTAATGAGTAATCCATGTTGTCTGTCAGCTGCAGCATACATCAGTTATGAGAACACTCATCTAAAAAGGAAACACAATACGGTATCCCACAGAGAGAGTCCACTTTAACGACAATAATCTGCGCTGTGGTTTCACATTGTCCAGATAAAATACAACAGATTTACCAAAAAATGTTGAGCCTCAAACGCAGCAACAGCCACACACGACTGATCAAAGAGATACGTGGAACTGAATGACAACAATGCTAATGTAAGTCTAAAACGGATTTGGCCTGGGCACAAATATGACTGTAGCTATGAGCTGGCTCTACTGACATGAGATGGCTTAAGATATATTTTAGGCATGTGTCACCGTGTGTGTGGAAGAGGATTCAAGGAAAGAAGACATGTTGGAGATGGAAATGTCCTGAAAATTGCTGCCATGTCGATATACTGCTACTTTATTTAATTGGACATAAACAACCACAAAATAAGGACAATGTTTTCATGCCTAGCAATATCATAGTAGCAGCATAACATAAACAATCTTTACTCCAATTTGTTTAATAGTTTTTTTCCTCATCTACAATATATAAAGGCTAAGGTTTTTCCATTTTGCTTCACCTGCACTACATGAAATGCATCCAGTCATCATTTCAGCTTCAGTGTGACAGATGAGAATGTGAACTACAGAAACATTCAACGGCTCTCATATACCCCTTACAAAAAGATTTAATTTACCAAATATGTACCTTTAATTTGAAGAAAGGAATTACAAGTATCAGTTTTATTCTCCTGTCTTCCATCTTCTTCTAATGATTATATAATACATCCTAATGTGTATCTTTGGAGCGCAACATAACATGTTATTTTTTTTGCATTCGAACTGCGTCTTTAAAGTAGATTAAAAAAAATTGCAGCTTGAGTTTCAATAAAAATATCCGGTTGGTGCAGCTGATTTGGTTCCGGAGTAAAGGTGTAGCCCGCACTGATGTCAAAGAACAAAGGGATCACCGGGGAACAGGAAGAGATGCAGG